TCAGAAAATCGGGACTTGCAATACTAGGAACTGGAGCTTATCTCACTCACCCTTGTCCTGCTGTTTGTAATCGCCCAGCCCCTGCAAACCTGCTTAATCAAGCCTGTCCAGGTCAGGCATCCCCCTTCCCATCTTGACCACTGCTCTTGCACACAGGAAATCCCTTAGTTTAAACCAGCCTATTAACGGCTAGTGTTGCCCACTATAGTCTGTCTATAAAGACTCGGTAATCCCTTTGGGTGGGGCTCAGAGCTTGGAATGTTAACTCCTCTGGGCCCGCTGGTGTAATAAACCTGAGTTCTCCAACTTTCCCAGTGTGGTGCTTGGTTTCTCGAGTACTGGTTTCTGCAACATTTCTGGAGGCCCCAGCGAGATTCCAACCACACCGGCCCCTTGAGCTACCGAACTGGTGGTTGGGCCACGCTGAAGCAAAGGAACCCCGAGACGAAGGAAGAGGCGCGCCACCTGATGGTATTCCGGGTTCTCTTTCAGACCGGTGTTCCGATTCTTCATTGGCCAAGCCCCAACTGGACTCATTGGAGGGACGGACCAACTCACCAGGAAGGGCCACAGGATAAGGTAAGGCTCCGGGGCCAGTCCCCAGGCAGGAACCTACCCCAACGGGTAGAAGAGGAGACTAATCGCCTCCTTGGGTTCCCAGGAAGGGAGCATCAGAAAAGGAGACCTGGGACTTGGGAGGAAGGCAGGCATCGTGAATGATAACCTCGTTTGGGCTCCCAGGAAGGGAGCAACAATTAAGGAAGCCTGGGGACTCAGGAGAAGGGAGGCATCGTGACTGATAACCTTCTTGGAGCTCCCAGGAAGGGAGCAACAGCTAAGGAATCCTGGGGACTCAGGAGAAGGATGGCACTGTGATAGCCTCTGAATGATTGTTGAGTTGTGTGCTGACTGAATGGAGAGAAACTTTTTGGAAACTACAAAGCCAATTATTTTGGCATATACAATAAAAACAACTAACTTGTTAAAAGGCCTGCCCAGGGAAAAGCTTGAAGTTAACCCTTCCTGTGTCCTTGAGATACACAGCCAGCTTTGCCTGAGACCTTAGCCTTGGGGAAATTAGAACTTCAAGTGAAGGAAAAAAAAGGGGGGTCAAAGAGATATTTTAAATCTCAAACATAAAACTATAAGATCTCTGTCAGTCTGTCTGTCTGGATTTATGTATATCTCAGTTTATGTCTTTTTTCTGATAATATTGAAGGGAAGTTGTAAATGAGTCCTAATTTAATTGGCCTAAAGAAAAGTGAGCGCTTATGAATCAAACAATACAAGCAATAAAAGAAAAATTAACTAAATAAATTTCAGATTCATATGGACTGGAAAATATTCAATATTAAATACCTAGTATTAATGTTTGTTTGCTTATCTAATAAGAAAGTAGGATGTATGTTTTTAATAAAGAAGATATAAAAAATAAAATTGCATTTTATAAAGGGAAAAGAAAGTAGGTCTGACTTACAGGTAGCTGTTACAGAGTGATTAAAAAGATTCTGGAAGGTGAAGTCTGAAAAAAAAGTTTTGTGCATGGTTAGGACTAAGTTTAAAATAAATTTAATTATGTTTACCTAAATGAGTTTAAAGTAAGCTGGTGCAAAAATTTTAATTCGGCCTTTCTCTCTGTTAAGAGGACATACTTTCTTCAGATGTTGAACTGCTTTTAATAATAGATTTAAGTTTTTTTTTTAACCCCTCAATTGATCTGTTCTATATTTACCTTTAAAATCTTTTGTTAACTATGGCTACAGTGTTAATGCCCTCACAATGAGTTCTCCAAAAAAGAAAAAATTACTTTGGTAAACTAAATAAACATTATTTAAGATTATGGTACATGTAGACAAAGCTCATTTTGCTTCTACAAAAAATAATCCCTCATAGTTAGACTTTTGCTATCTTGATGTCCTTAAAACATGGCGATAGTCTGCTCTTAAATCAGGAAATTAAAAATAAACAAACAACAGCTAAAAATCAAACAGCCAGGGCTAGGGGAAATCCAAGATGGCTGCTTGGCTTTTCCTGGCTCCCTGACGGACCTCATTTTTATTTGACGGGTTAAAGCCTTACCTGGCTACAGTGTTAATGCCTTCAGAATGATTTCTCTAAACAAGAAAACATTATGTTTCACTAAATATTAAGTTCTAGTTTTGTTAATTAAGGTCTGTGCTTACTAAGACTCACTTCTGAGCTAGTTCCTTGTTATGTTATATTGCTAAAAGGTTTAATTAAGTTATTAAAAAGGATACTCTTAAGATGGTTTCTAAAGCTTATCTCAGTAACCAGTCTTTGAATAAAGCTCAGATGCTCCATGAGGTACAATCAGGAGATTAACACCTGGATACAATCATTTAACTGAGACAGATGACCTGGGGTATATCAGACTATATGCAATGAAAGCTGACTTAAATTCTTGCTTGTGACCTTACTAATAACTGCTAGCTATATTATGTTCTGTGTAGCTTGTTTCAGATTATTTCTTATGTTACCAAAGGTGTGACCGAGCCTGTGATAAAATGCTGATATGCAGTTCCATATGAGATCAATAACTGTAATAACGTAACTCTAGATGTGGGAAGAAGCAACAAGAGGAAATATTTTCCTGGACCAAGAGGCTAGTAAGACAGGTATGGTCCAGAGACTTTTGCTACTTACAAGGCCTGGTCTAGTGACAACACATTGAGTGGCCTGTCAATGGAATCTTTGTTAGACCTGGGAATGAGCCTTCCCAGCACCATGGGACACAATGACCTTGAAATGCCCCAAAACATGGTCAAATATGTGGCTATGAAGGGGCCCTGCTGACTGGAAGCTGGCCCTTGCCAGCTGCCTCTACAAAGATTAAATCATGACTACTATAAGATGTTGACCTTCAACACCCCCTTGAAAGGACTTCAGGGTGGAGACAAAAAATAAGGCACTCTACTCTGGGAAAACCCAGAAAAAAAGGCCTTCAGATAGTCAGATGTTTTCAGATAAAAATTTTTATGAGTCCAAATTCTTGCATCTTCTCATGCCTAGAGAAACACTAATGTCATGAACCAATGTCTGGACCTGGTTCTCCTAGCTAGAGCCTCAGAAGCATTCCTACTTCTATTAATCTTTGAGCCATATATCTTTAACTTTCTTGTTAAGTTTGTTTCTCCAAGCAGCAGTAGTACGACAAGCATATCCTCCGGCCAACGCCCAGACAAACCTAGAACAAGCTGCTTTATTCTGTGGACTCTCATTGGCCTCTGTAAATGCACCCCGAGGTCCTCAGGCTGCTACTCTCCCTTTGAGATCTCATACGGGAGACCACCCCCAGTGATAAAAAAAGCTCAAGGGAGATCACCAACAACTAGCTGACCTGGAGATGTCCCAACACCTCCAGGTCCTGGGAAAGTCTTCTGCCATATTGCCTGAGAAACCTGAGAAAGGACACCCATTCCACTGGGCAAGTGGGTTCATCCGTATCAGCCAGGAGATGAGTTATGGGTGTCATCCCTTGGATCCACCACACCAGAGTCAAGAAGGCAGCAGCTTCCTATAATGAGAACACCTGGAAAGCAGTTCAGGATCCCAAAAATCCCCTCAAGGTCTGGTTTCAAAAACAACGACCCTGACCCTCGAAGGATTCTAAGCCCTGCTCTAGTCACTCTGGGAGCTGGCTAGTCAATGCATGGCAGAAGCTTGAGGATTCTTCAGCCTTGCTCCAGCCACGCTCCGGCAGCTGGCTGGGTGGTTAATGCACGGCTGAAGCGTGAGGATCCAGCTATCAAAACATCAATGGATTTTCATTGTCAACCCTGGACTCTATCCCTGATTGCTATTATTTTTGTGCTCTTTGCTACAGGACTAGCTTTAGTTGCACCCCAGGACTGGGATTTGGGTCAGAAGCTGCAGTTAGCTGTCTGTTATCTCACTGTAGTGGGAAGCCTCATTCTTATTAAGTGTCTCTTATGATCTATTCTCCCTACTAACTAAACTGCCCCACAGTATAGCTGACCCCCCTTCACAAAAGGCTCAGTTGCTACAGCCGTGACAACCCAGAGATGGGGAGAAAACCTTTTGGTGGTGTTCTGTCATCTGTTACGTTCAGGCTGCTTTACAGCCTTTTGGTGTCCCTTGCTGTAACAGACGGTACCGCCCCATCAAGGCCTCTTCTTTGTCTGTGGGACAGATGCTTACTTATGTCTACCTGTCAATTAGATGGGTATCTGCAGCTTAGCTTTCCTCCCCAGATGAACATTGTTCCTAACAACCAGACTCTCATCGTACCTCTGGCAGCACATACGTGGTCAAAAAGAGCCATCCAGTTTATACCCCTACTAGTTGGTCTGGGACTCACGGCTGGGCTAGGTATGGAAATTGGAGGAATTGCTTCATCAACCACCTTTTACCATACACTATCCAAAGACTTCACAGACGACATTGAGAGAGTGGCCAAATCTTTAGTGGTCTTACAGGAGCAATTAGACTCCCTGGCTGAAGTGGTTTTACAAAACAGGAGAGGGCTAGACCTAGTGACAGCAGAAAAGGGAAGACTCTGCCTCTTCTTGAATGAAGAATGCTGCTTTTATATAAACCAATCAGAAATACTCAGGGACAGGGCCCAACAGCTAAGGGAACAAATCATAAAAAGGAGAGAAAAACTAGCTAATTCGTGGGGTAATTAGAGCAATATCTGGAGTGGGGCATCATGATTTCTCCCTTTAACAGGTCCTCTCTTCATGCTCTTTGCAGCGCTCTTGTTTGGGCCTTGCATTCTCAATGCAATTACCCGGTTCATAACCTCTCAGATTGAATCCGTAAAGTTACAAATGGTAATAGTTCAATACAGCCCCCTAAACAATGGGGAGCTCTGAGTGTCCTACCAAAAACATGCGATGACGCTTTCTACAACGAGTGATAGAAAGAAGCATCAAGAGGGGAGAACGAAGAGGAAAAGTTAAAATTTTACATAACCTCCTTCTCCTTCTGCCTCTGTAACTCAGCTTACCCCTTGCAAAGTCTAGATCATGTAGGTCACATAGTCTCAGAAAGTGCGGATTTGCAATACTAGGAACTGGAGTTTATCTCACTCACTCTTGTCTTGATCTTTGCATTTGCCCAGGGCCTGCAAACCTGCTTAATCATGCCTGTCCAGGTCAGGCATCCCCCTTCCCACCTGGACCAGTGTTCCTGCGCATGTGAACCGCTTAGTTTTAACCAACCTATTGAGAGTTAGTGTTGCCCACTATAGTCTAAAAAAACCCTGTAATTCCTTTCTTCAGGGCTCAGAGCTTGGAGTGCTAACCCCTCTGGGCCCGCTGGCGTAATAAACCTGAGTTCTCCAACTCTCTGAGTGTGGTGCTTGGTTTCTCGAGTACTGGTTTCTGCAACACTTCTAGCTGGTTTTTTGAAAGCAGAGCTGAAGACAAAGGCCTAGTATTATTTTGGCCACCCTATGAAGCATGTAGAATCTTACTTCTTCAACCAGGGATGGAACCCACACCCTGTGTAGTGGGAGGGCTGAGTCTTCCCCACTGGACCAGCAGAGAAGCCCGAAGACAAAGGTCTATTCCACGCAGGCACTGATTTGGAAAATGTTCCCAGAAGTATGGTAGCAGGAAGAGGAAGACAGAAAAGAATGAAAAGCTAATATCAACGTGCATAATCAAGGGCACACCTTGATCGTACACAATGTTCCTATTGCAGGAAAGGCTGAAACACTTATACAATGATTCCTATCTCTCTTTGAATGATGATGTCTCTCACCTCCACTTCTTAGATCTATTGAAGAAGCAGAATTGAGCCATTCAGAGCCTGCAGACGGAGAGCCTCCGTTTTCAGGGCATTGCTCATTGGTAATTGCATTTTCAGGGGACTCAGCTCGGACAGAAATTAGAGGCTGCCAAAGGGGATGGGACACGGGGCACCAGAGGCATCTGTTGTACCACGTGACCAACTGCTCCCATGCCCGAGGACTTTAGAAGGGGCTTTAGCTAGTGAGGTGCCCAACGGCTTAAGCTTTTAGCTTCAGGCTTCAATCTGCCTTTGTGGAGGAACTCACGGTTGTCCTGGAGGGAACGGCTGAGGAAGCCAGCCCTCCACACAAGGCTGTATCCTCCTTCCCTGGTCCCCCGCTACTTGGAGTTCCAACGTCTCTCCGGCACATCCTGCCTGCTCCTCTGGCTCTCCAGTATTCCATGCATGAAGTGAAAGGCAACTGAGGAGCAGCAGTCTTGCTGTGGGCTTTACTGGGATCTTGCTGAGTTTGAAGGCTGGTTCACATTTCCGTTGTCTTGTTAAATAAACTAGAGTTGGGGGAAAAGCTTGGAGTTAGCAATTTGTAGACAGAAGCAATGCCCTGGGTGATGGGGGTGGGGGGAAGGGGCCTTAATTACCTATCAAGGAAGAATCCCTCCCTCCTCAAGACCATTTCAGATTTTTCAACAGTTCACCGGAGCACAGATGAATTAGCCATCTGCTAGCCAATGCAGGGAAGTCCTCTGACAGATCTTTAAAGGAAATGTTTGGGGACTTCCCTGGTGGTCTGGTGGCTAAGACTTCATGCTCGCATTGCAAGGGGTGTGGGTTTGATCCCCAGAAAATGATGAAGATCCCACTCGCCACAACTAAGGCCTGGCACAAATAAACAAAAAATAAATATTAAAAAATAAGTAACTAGAAGAAAGTTTCAAAAGAAAAGCAGCAAATACAGACCTGAGCCCATGAGAGATGGAACTCAGTAACTTCCCTGCATTGTTAGCATGGTCTCCCCTTTCTGAGTGTGCAGACGCGTCCTTAGGATAGAAAGAGTCCATGTGTGCCCACCTTCACGAGCAGCAGAGAGGAACTTGGTTTCATTCCCGTCAGGGTTGGTGGCTGGGGAGGAGAAGATTCTCCCAAGGGTGAAATGGGTGGTGGCAGCAACTGAGGAAGAGAAAAGGGGACATAGGAGTGGAGAGGTTCCAGAAGAAAAGCTATAGAATGGTGGGTGACCCCTGCGAGAGTCAGGGTGTGGTCTTACAATAGCTTTCATGCTGAAAAACTGGGGGAGGAGAGCTCAATTCAGAAAAATTGGGAGGACAGGGATTTCCCTGGCAGTTCCATGGTTAAGACTCTGCTTCCAATGCAGGGGGCACAGGTTCAATCCCAGGTTGGGGAACTAATATACCACATACCACCAGGTGTGACCAAACATTAAAAAAAAAAAGAAGGGGGTGGGGAGGATAGAGAAAAACAGAGCTTGGATCTGGTAAAAGAGCAAATTTAGAGTAAACGGGGATGATGAAAATTAGAGGAGATGGTAGGCTGGGAGGAATCTCAGAAGTCTTGGGTAACAGAAAATGAAAAGAACCTAGAACATGATCCAGTAAATGAGTCACCACAGGTAATGGAAAGGTAGATAAAGTCAAGATGGTCACAGAACAAAGGCCCAGGATGAAGGCCACTGATAGGGACAGGAGGTACGATGGAGAGGGGACCTGAGCCCAGGACCAAATTGCTCAGTGACTCTGAGGCCTGTGCACATGCGGAGGGGATGAACCGGAGGCCACGAGATGTGAAGATAAAGGTATTTGGAAAAACAGAGAATTCCTTTGTGATCTCATGGTTGAGACTCTACCCTTTCACTGTTGAGGGCCTCAGTTCCATCCTTGGTTGAAGAACTAAGATTCCAAAAGCCACATGGTGTCGCTAAAAAACAAACAAAAATCTCTGAAATGATCCCTGAAGAATGAGAGTGATGGGGAAGAGGGAAGAGTTAACTCGTCAGGGTGGAAGGGCTTCCCGACAGAGCGAAGGTCCTAAGCCAGGGCCCAGAAGCCAGCAGAAGCATGGCGTGTTCTGGAACTCAGAGCCAGGGATCAGGGGGACCAGTCAGACCACAACAGACTATACTAAGGGGTCTGCATTTATCCTCAAGGAGATGGTGACCTGCTCATTCCTCCTCTTTGTCCCCTCCACTCATAACATAGGGTGTCTTAGGGCGAATCTTGGGATCTGTTATCCACCTGCCCTCTGTTCTTTGGTGACCTCATCCATTCTCACTGCTGGAAACTCCCAGAACTTCATCCCCAGATTCAGTTTATGCACGGCTGCAAAATGAAGAGGTAAGGAAACTGGCCAATGGATTTCACCCTTCAGGGTCTGGTTGTCAGGGTCATGGGTTCAGAAACCTAGTTTTCTGTGTTCTCTTATTAAATAGTAGAAAATCAACTTTCAACTAATTATATACAGGTTGATTCTCACATGGAAAATCAATTTATTAATTTATAGAAGCAGATCAACCTTTACTTATTTGTGCCCATTTGTGAGCTTCAAAGGGTAATTGGTTTCTCTCTTGGTGGTGCTAATGGGAAAGAATCTGCCTGCCAAAGCAGGAGACGCAAGAGACAACAGCTTGATCCCTGAGTCAGGAAGAAGCCCTTGGATGAAAATGGCAACCCACTTCAGTATTCTTGCCTGGCAAGTCCCATGAAGATAGGAGCCTGGCAGGCTATAGCCTGTGGGGTCGAAAGAGGGGGACACGACTGAGCAACCGAGCGCGTATCACACACACATACAGAAGCAGATCAACTTTACTTATTGGTGCCCAGGTGCTAGTTTTAAGAAGATCATTGGCTTCTTTTTTTTTTTAATGTGGACTATTTTTCTTTTAAATTTTGAAGGCTTTATTGAATTTGTTACATTATTGCTTCTGTTTTATGTTTTGGTTTTTGGCCTACAGGTAGGGGAATACTAGCTCCCTGATCAGGGATCAAACCCACACCCCCTGCATTGGAAGGGAAGTCTTAACCACTGGACCTTCAGGCAAGTTCCCACTGTTTTCTTTCTGATTATAAAATTAATGCATGTTCATGACAGAAATTTTCAAAAACTCAGAACATATGAAGAAGAAAATGGAAATCACCTGTAACACCGATAATAACAGTTCACATCTATCTACAGCTGTGTGGATTTAATTTTAGCACTACTAGGATCATACAGTATAAATTTTTGCATCTTTTTCTTATTTTTATATTGTAAGCATTTGGGGAAAAAATTTTTTAGACCTTGCCAATTCTTGCAATTTATTTATTTGTACTGTCCTGAGATCTACTTTGTTTACAGTGTCAAGGTCCAAGCCAGAAGGCTGCTTTGGTGAACATGAAATCAGAGCAAAAATTAATAATTTAAAAATCAAGTAATTGTAGGAACAAATGCATCCAGGCCAGGATCCTGGTGCCACAGACTCCATCTCCTTGTATCTTTATGTGTCCGTCCGCAATGCCAAGGAGCGCAGGGCCCCTGGGTAGGGGTTCGGGGACCAGGGGACCGCTGGTGGAGGCCCAGGGTCAAGGCTAAGAGCCGGGTGATCACACCTGCGGGCCGGAGGGCACTAGGCATACAGGCTTCGCCTGAGCTTACCGGTGTCCCGCAGGCATAAGCGAGTGGGGGTGTCCCCAGCGGGTCTCCTTGAAGAATCGGTGTGTGGGGGGCGGAACCCGGCAGTCTCTCAGGTCGGGGGCCTGGACGAGCCGCCTTGGGCGCGAGCAGCTGGGGACGCCAGGGTGGAAGAGGGCGGCGCCCCCGCGGGTGCGGAAGCCTGCGACCTACGACCTCCGCTCTTCCGGGTCCGGGCTAGCGCTCCGGCTCCCCGCGGGCCCTCCGCCGCCGCCGCCGCCCTCGGGCAGGAAGGAGGGCCGGTCGCGGCCTGAGGGGCGCGGGCCTCGCAGGGAGGGGGTGCCCCGACTGGCCAAGATGGCGCGGGGGCGGGACACGTGACTCTAGGCCCCGCCCCAGCCCCGTTATCAGCGCGCGGCCGGGGACGCCCCGCAGCTGCTGCTCCCGGCCGCACTGCAACCATGCTTCGGGGACCGGCGGGCGCCTGGGCCGTGCTCGGCCCTCTGCTCTGGGGCTGCGGGCTGGCGCTGCTGCAGGGCGGGATGCTCTATCCCCGGGAGAGCCGGTCGCGGGAGCGCAAGGAACTGGACGGCCTCTGGAGCTTCCGCGCCGACTTCTCCGACAACCGGCGCCAGGGCTTCGAGCAGCAGTGGTACCGGGCGCCGCTGCGGGAGGTGCGCGCTCTGGGGACGGGACCTGGGCCGGGGCCGGGGAGCTTCTGGAAGCCCGGTGTGGGGGGCGTGGGGAGCCATCCCTTGTGCCCTTGGAACTGATGGACGGCCCTGGGGGGCCGTGGGGTCGACCCACCCGGAGAATGACCTGCAGGAGGAAATGGGCGGGCCGGACTTCGGTAGGGGAGGCGGAGCTGGAGCAGTGTCCCTGCCGCGAGCTAGGGCCGGTGGCCGCCCCGTGGCTGGAGGGGAGTCTTTGGACATTTTGGGGCCGCACCTTTGTCCTGGCAGGAAGGACTCTGGGTTCCAAGGTTTAGGTAGAGAACGGGGCTTGGCATCCAGCCGAGCACCCCTTTTAGGTCTCCCCTTTTGATTTGGGTCGGGTGGGCTGAGAACTGGGGCGGGGATCGGCCGTGAGCATCCAACGGTCACCTCCCTTACATCCTCTTTTTTCAGTCTTTGCCGCTCAGCCCTCATCAGAGGAGGAAAGGGGTGGGGGAGCCGGGCACGTGCCCCACTCACAGTTTCCTTCCAGAGCGGCCCCTGCTCCCCGGCCAGCCTTCCTTCCTGTGGCAGTCAGTTGATCATCTTCCTCTTAGTCAGGGTCTGATTTCTGGATATCCGTCTTGCCCCAGGCTGGCTGTGGCCCTGGGCACACCCCTTTCCATGAAAACGCGGGTGCCCGCTGCCCTAAGAACTTCTGCTCCCACCAGACCTCGGACACAAAACATCCTCGCTGTTGGTGTCATCAGAAAGTTATCCATTCATTCAGTCAGTATTTACTGGGTCCTCACTGTGTGGCCGGGCTTGGGCCAGCCGCTGGGCATACAACTGTGAGGGAGAGGGAATCCCGCCTCCTCCGAGCTCCTGTGTCTCATCTGTGTCTTCAGGAAGCTTTTCCCCAATCTGCTTCCAGACTCACTGAGCTATCTGTCTGCTACTGCCTTGCCTTCTTCCTGAGGTGTTCAAGGGTCAAGAAGTTCAAAGGGTTCTCTGTGGGGCTCAGGTTCTGCCAGGATGTCCAGAGGTTGTTTCTCATGGGCCCTGGCCCCCAAAGGCCTCCCCGGACCCCAGGATAGCTCCCTGCCCCTCTGCACCCTCTCTGCATAGAGCTGCTCACTGACAGCAGAGACCTTGTCCGGTGCTCTGTTCCCAGCGCCTAGAGCACCATGTCGTGTTCCCGGTGCACCCTTGACTGAGTGAGTGACTGGGTCTGCTTCATGGAGTTGTAAAAATTAAATGAGTTCATTAAAGACATTGGTGAGTTGATGGTAGGGTGGTCTGGAATCTGGGAGGGTCTGGGAGAAGTCTTTTTTTTTTTCTTTTTTAATATTTTAACATGCATCCAGCCTTAGTTGTGGTCCTTGGGCTTAGTTGCCCTGTAGCATGTGGAATCTTCCCAGACCAGGGATCAAACCTGTGTCCCCTGCATTGCAAAGCAGATTCCTTATTGCTGGGCCACCAGGAAAGACCCTGGGGAGAAGTCATTTTGTCCAGCTTTGTCCTGCAGGCGGAATTGCTGGGGGACCTGGCCCCTTAGTTTCCTGGGTGGTCTGGACCTGATTCCCGCCCTGGTCTCCTCAGTCAGGCCCTACTCTGGACATGCCGGTGCCCTCAAGTTTCAACGACGTGGGCCAGGACGGGCAGCTGCGGAGTTTTGTCGGCTGGGTGTGGTATGAACGGGAGATCACCCTGCCCCAGCGGTGGACCGAGGACCTGGGCATGAGAGTGGTGCTGAGGATTGGCAGCGCCCACTACTATGCCATCGTGGTCAGTGCAGTGGGCGGCAGGCAGGGCGGGTGGCCGGGCGTGGGGCGGGGCAGGAGGCAGGCTGTCCTGGGGTGCCTGCCTCTGGGGTTGCAGGGTGGGGGGCGGGGGCACATTTAAGGCCCCACACTGGAGTTTGTGCCCTGGGTGGAGGAGGGTGGTCTTGTCTATTCCCCTGGAGCCCCATTCTTCCACTCCCGAGGTCAGTGGCAGCTGGCAGAACCCTCAGCCTGCCCGCTCTGCCTGCTTCCCCATCCTGCACTTGTGTGTGAGGGCATGCTGGAAACGGCTGGTTCCCCCCCCCGCCCCCCCCCCGGCTTGTCTCCTTGTATCTGCAGTGGGTGAATGGGGTCCACGTGGCAGAGCATGAGGGGGGCCATCTCCCCTTCGAGGCTGACATCAGCAAGCTGGTCCAGAGCGGGCCCCTGTCCTCCTGCCGTATCACCATCGCCATCAACAACACGCTGTCCCCCCACACCCTGCCACCCGGGACCATCCTCTACAAGACGGACCCCTCCATGTGAGCAGCACCTTGCCCACCACCCGCCCCCACTCCCCACCCTGCCCAGACGTCTGCCCACCAGGGGACAGGGCGGCTTTAGCAGAGGTGAGGCCCTGGCTCTGGGAGGCCAGGGAGACATGTGAGTTGAGATCGAAGGATTTGGGACAAGGCCACTGTCCCCTTGCTCTGTCCTAGGTACCCCAAGGGTTACTTTGTCCAGAACATAAAGTTTGACTTCTTCAACTACGCGGGACTGCATCGGACTGTGCTCCTCTACACCACGCCTACCACCTACATCGATGACATTACCGTCACCACCGACATGGATCAAGACATCGGTGAGGCTCCTGCCAGGATCTGCCCTCAGCCAGGCCCAGAGTGGCTTGGTTCCCTGTTTGGAAAGATCCCCTTGGAGACAGGCTCTTCCACCCACCTCCTCAGGGTGCTCTCACCTGTAGGACCCCAGGTCACATGCCCCCCTCTTCTCTCTCATCTAATCTCCTGTCTCCTGTAGGGCTGGTGAATTACCAGATCGTCGTCCAGGGCAGTGACCACTTCCAACTGGACGTGGGTCTTCTGGATGAGGAAGGCAAAGTCGTGGCCAAGGGGGCAGGGGCCCAGGGCCAGCTGCAGGTGCCCAATGCCCACCTCTGGTGGCCGTACCTGATGCATGAGCACCCTGCCTACCTGTACTCATTGGAGGTAATGGTGGTGAGGATTGGGCTGGGGGAGGCCATTTGCCCCATCCAACAGCCCTAGCTTCAGCAGGCCTGGTCCCCTCAGCTTCCTGGGCTGTTGGACTGAAGAGTCCCCAGCCTGATTTTTTCAGCCCTTGGTGGGCAGGCCGAGTTGGAAGAGGAGGCCCCGGGGCAGTGTGGGCAAAAGTTTCTTCTTGCTCACGGCAGATGTAATTTCTGCCTCTCTCCACCTGCAGCCCCAGAGGTGGGCCGCCGTGGTTTGCCAGGGGCTGTCCTGCGAAGCCCAGGCTGCGTGGGGCTCAGGCCGGTCAGGCTGCCTCACACCCAGTGCTCGGCTTTCGCAGGTGAAGTTGACGGCGCAGACGGCTGTGGGGCCCGTGTCTGACTTCTACACCCTCCCCGTGGGGATCCGCACCGTGGCCATCACCGAGAGACAGTTCCTCATCAATGGGAAGCCGTTCTATTTCCAAGGGGTCAACAAGCATGAGGATGCAGATGTGAGTAGGGGCTCCTGGGTCCCTGTTGCTCACCATCCCCTTCCCCGCAGCCCGTGGAGTGGCTGAGGGCAGCTCAGAGCAAACCGCCCCAAACCACTGCCTGTGCTTGGCCTGGAGAGCGGGCTGATGGGGTAACTCTGGGGGGCCCAGCTCTCGGAGGAAACATGTCTGGGATGGGGTCGAGGGCAGGGGCTCACCCATCTCTGCTGTCCCCCAGATCCGAGGGAAGGGCTTTGACTGGCCGCTGCTGGTGAAGGACTTCAACCTGCTTCGCTGGCTGGGCGCCAACGCCTTCCGCACCAGCCACTACCCCTACGCGGAGGAGGTGCTGCAACTCTGTGACCGCTATGGGATCGTGGTCATCGACGAGAGCCCCGGCGTGGGCATCAAGTCGGCGTGAGTGCCCGCTGCCTGCACTGCCTGGCCCTCCCAGCTCAGCAGCCTGTGTGCGTGCTGTCGCTCAGCTGTCTGTGACTCTGAGACCCCATGGACTGTAGCCCACCAGGCTCCTCTGTCTGTTGGATTCTTCAGGCCAGAATACTAGAGTGGATTGCCATTTCCTTCTCCAGGGGATCTTCCCGACCCAGGGATCGAACTTGCCTTTCCTACGTTGGGAGGCGGGTTCTTTACCACTGAGTCATCAAGGAAGCCCAGAGTTTCTACTAGAAGGAAAGAAAATCAGACTGACCTGCTCCCTTTCCTCCCTCGGCCCACAGTGAGAGCTTCAGCAACGTATCTCTGCAGCACCACCTGGAGGTGATGGAGGAAATGATCCGCAGGGACAAGAATCACCCGGCCGTTGTAATGTGGTCCCTGGCCAATGAGCCCGCTTCCTTCCTGAAACCGGCTGGTTACTACTTCAAGTGAGTGCTCCTGCCTTGCCTGGGCCGGGTCCTAGGTGAGACCGCAACCTGCTGGCCCAGCTCAACCTTGCCTGGCAGCCACGGGAGAGTGGCGGTGGGCTCTGGGATGGGTGTGGGCTGCTCCCAGCCCAGGTGCATCCACCTCTAGTCAATTCAGGGGACAAGGTACCCACCCACCCAGATTATGATTTCAGCCAAGTGTCTCCTTAACACACCTGCGATGAAATCCAGAGATAACCTAACCTACTTATACATAAAACTTCAAATTAAAGAAAAAATGTAGTGACGTGGCCTGACTGACGTAAGGAAGAGACATTTGTCAAAGAATACATAAATGTGTGAGCCTGACTCTCCAGAAGGGCCAGTGAAGGAGTCAGGCGCTTGCACCTTCTGGGAAACTCCCTGAAAACACAGCTACAGAAGCTGATAACAGGGCTGGGAAGCACAGCCGGCGACTCTGGTGCTGCGAGCAGCATTTCCTTCCGTTCTGCTCTTTTCTAAGGGACTGAGCCGTGGCCGATAGAGTTCCAGTGAAAACCAAGCCCTGCTGTTACTGTTTAGTCGCTAAGTCGTGTCTGACTCTGCGACCTCATGGACTGTAGCCCACCAGGCTCCTCTGTCCGTGGGATTTCCCAGGCCAGAATACTAGAGTGGATTGCCATTTCCTTCTCCAGGGGATCTTCCTGACCCAGGAATCAAGCCCACGTCTTCCGCTTGGCAGGCGGGTTCTTTACCACCTGGGTCTTCCCTTGATTTTTATGGTGTCTCCATTCCTGGGAAATTTAGTACATGTTACAGCTGCACAAAACCACTTTGCAAAGCTTTTGAGTTCAGCTGTAAAGGGAATTTAAGCTTTATAAAGGTGACTGACCTAGGCATATAATTATAAACAGATTTTCAGTGACGTCCATATTCTAACCATCCTAAAGTTACGTTGTTGGACGGGACCAGGTCACCTGAAGTTCATTGTCTGTTCACTGCATACCAATAACTTCCCCCAACCCCCAGGCATTGCTGTGGGCGGAAACCTCACATAGGGGCCATCTCCCCACAGTGGGTCAGCCTCCTGGCGATTCCTTCTCTTTCTTACCATCCTGCAGTTGTGGCGTAGCCTGGAGTGGGGAATTATTTCACATACTGCGGAGGCAGCAAAGGCTATGGAAGTACTCCCTAGGAGACACTGCCTGCATCCCCCTGTTCTGGATGGAGGGCTTGGGTAGTGGACCTTCCTAGGCAAAGACGAGCTCTGGACACGCAGCTGGAGGTCGGGTTGGGCAAAAAGTTCGTTTGGGTTTTTTCATAACATTGTGCAAAAACTCAAATGAACTTTTGGCCAAGCCAATACATGCCTATTTAAGTCTCTAATGAGTGCCCAGTTCACAGCTTGCCTCCCAGGACTCGCCCCCTAGTGATGTGTTAAATTAATACTCATCCTAACCTGCACCACATCCTGGTTTTGTCAGAGATGCGGAAACTTGCTTTTGGCAGCACCCAGCTCAAAGATCTCAGCTGTGCCTCTCATCTCTTGAGGGTGGCCCCCTTTGCGGGAGGGGTGAGGGGCTAAGATCTGGGGAGAGAGGAAGAGAGAATGATGTCAGGGAACATGTTTTGAGGAACACGTTTGCTTACCTGAAATACCCTAGAAGGCAGGGAGGAGAGCGTGTCTTGGGGGTTTTTTGTCTGGGAAGATGGGAAGGAGGGGATTCAGGAGGGGTGCCTGAGAGCCCTCCCCAGACTGACAGCACCGTGTCTTCTGCCCTCCGTGGACAGGACGCTGATTGCCCACACTAAAGCCTTGGACCCCTCCCGGCCTGTGACCTTTGTGACCAACACCAACTATGAAGCAGACTTGGGGGTGAGCCTGGGGGTCTCCACACGTCTTCCCTCTGCCTGTCCTCTTGTCCTGCCCTGATGCTTGCTGACATGAGCTGCTGGGAGGGACCACGAGCAGCCAGTCTGACCATTTCCATAGATGGTCTTTGGGTTAAAGAAAACTGCCAGGTGGTCCTTTGCCAGGCAGTGTAGGTTCTTGAAGCTAAGGAGGTCAGGCGTAGGGAGGTCGAGTTCCTTCTCAGTTCGTTCTCAATTCATCGGTTTCTCCGGACCTTGATTTAATTTTATGCCCCCAGTTTAATATGCTCAGAAAAGGGCAGAGGTTTACGGGAGCCTAAAGTCATCATTGACTTGTGTTTCTCCAACTTGCCTGATCGTTGGAGCCACAAAGGGAAGCTTTTTGAAAGTACAGAGCTCTGGATTTTGTGATTCTGATTTGTAAAGTCCAGGGTAGGAATCTGAGTTTTTAAAAAACTCCTCAGTGATTCCAGGCATCAGTCAGCTTTGGGAACCACTGCTGAGATCCAGCACTGGGGGGACTGAAAATTGAAGGGAGAGGCTCACCCAGCCGGTTGGACCCCATGGCTCCTCTCATGGTCCCTGGGCACAGCAGCTCATCAGAAACTGTGTTGAGTTGTTACACAAAAGCTGTAAAACACGGGAGCAAGAAGATGCTTCACTAGGGAACTGAGGCCAGTACCAAAAAGTGCTCCAGAAAGAGAAATCCTCTCAAGAAAGAGAGGATAAGAAAACACTGCGTACAAGTGTAAGTTGTGAGCACTGTCATTTTCACATGGACCAGATGGTTTGCAGCCCTAGAGCTCCGGTGCTGTCCCTCCAAGGGAACACGAGTGTGGTGGAACACCAGTGGGGCACAGGCAGACCTGGGCGTCTCAGTCTCAGTGGCATCCCTTCCTGCTCTAGTGGGCAAGGGAGCCTGTACTGGTCGCCCCAGAAGGTTGCCAGGCTCACCCGCTGGGATGTGTGAGCTGTGGTCACGTGCCCACCCAGAGGTACCGCTTCCCACCTGCATCTTTCTGCCCCAAGTTCAGAAGGGCACTGCAGTCCCTTGGGAGAGAGGGCCCACATGGGTCCCACTGCAGACTCTGCAGGCGAGCGTGCATTCAGGTGAGCTTGGCGGTCCACCGAGCACCACGTTGATCAGATTCGTGGCAGTGCTGCCCCCCAAGCCGGGCCGCCCTCCTAGGAGGGAACTGTCCAGTCTCTTCAGGGCCCATGACAGTAGCTCAGAAAGGGGACTCGGGAGGCTCTGTGAGGAGAAAAACTGCCTTCGGCCCTCAAGGGGCCGAGGGGATGACTAGTGACAGGAGCACAACCTAGAGATGAACAAGTCCGGTCTGGATGGGCTCCCCTGGGGCCGGCGTGCCTGGCGCCAGCTCTGCCTCTCATCACCCTCCCTGGAGCCTGGCTGCAGCCAGGTCGGGGTGCCAGCCCAGAACAAGAGACCTTCCCCGTTCACTCGCTCCATTCAGGTCCCTTCTGACTGTTACTTCCTACACGTGCGCATTGAGCGCACTTGTCGCACTCTCTTCTTATCTCCTCTGCCGGAGGCACCCCGAGGGTGAGTCCCCCCCTCTGCTGGCTGGCGGACTCGCGCCCATGCTCCTGCAGGCGCCGTACGTGGACGTCATCTGTGTGAACAGCTACTATTCCTGGTACCACGACTATGGGCACATGGAGGTGATTCAGCTGCAGCTGGCAACCCAGTTCGAGAACTGGCATAAGATCTACCAGAAGCCGATGATTCAGAGCGAGTACGGAGCAGACACCATTGCAGGGTTTCACGAGGTAAGTTGCATCGAAGATGGGAGTTATTTTTTTCTCTCTCTCAGACAGTGATGTCAGTCATCACTGCCCCAGGCTAGAGATCTGCCTCCTTCCCCGTCCCTCCCTTGTCCTGGCCACCTCCCACCTTACCAGGCTTGCCCGAAGCTGCCCCTCCACATAGCCGCCCTGGACTCAGCCTCTGATCCATGTGCATGGTCCTCCAGTAGCCTCCCACAGGCTGCCCAGGTGGTCCGTGGGACAAATCCAAACCTTGTCCTGTCCCTGCCTACCCCTGACGAAGCCCTAATTTGTGGTCGGGGCTGTGCATGCCCTCTGCCCTCTGCCCTCTCCCAGGAGATCCTGGTCTATTCTGTTTGGTGGCTCCTATGCTGGCCTGGCCTCTTCCTTCTGCCCAGGAAGCCCTTCTTAGCTCCGTAATTGCCAGCTAATGGAACTTGACTCAGCGTTCCTGCTTCAGCTCAGGTGTCCACGCTTTGGTGAGGAGGACCCCACCTACCTGGGCAGAGGAACACCGTGAGCGGTCATGCTCTCTTTTGTTCTCTCCTTGACCAGACTGGGGGCTTCAGGAGGGAGATCAAATTGTGTTTCCGTTTGCTTCGTAAGCACGCCACAGTTGCATCTGCACTGCATCCTGTATAATAGCATTTTAATCCTTCTTGTCGGGAAGGAGGACCCAAGCCAACAGGGGTTGGTTCCCTTGGAAGATGACTGCGGTGCTGCACCCTTGAGCGTCAAAGACTCAGCACCTGCCACAAATTCCCATGAGATGAAAACTCAGACCTTATGCTCTAAGAACATCTCAAAGATTGTCATATCTTAGCACATGACAAACGTGAGCTCTTCACTGGAGACTGAGTCCACAGATGTGGCCTCTGCTTTTCTCCCTCCTCACCTGGCAGGTCTCAGCTTCAATGAAGCTTTCTGTGCCCCCTGCTAACCTCCTCCTACCGAGCCCCTCACACACACTACACGCTCCCAATTCACCCTTGTTACACTTAGAGCTGGGTCTTGCCAGACTGTTAAGCCCATGAGGGCAGGGACCCTATCTTTCTAGTTTGTTACTTTGTCCCTAATGCCTGGCATATAAGCAGATGCGAAATAATGACTTGTTGAATGTCAATGGGCTAAACGGCAGCTCCTTACCTAGATGAGATACAGGGGAATTGGAGGCAAGTTAAATCTGAGTCACACCAGTGCTCAAATTATGCATTGGCAGCTACTTCAGCCTTGGGTTTTAAATTTATTATCCAGAGACGTACTTTTATTCATAGTATAGTTCAGTTGTAAGACTGCAGTGGGGAATAGAGGTGGAAAAAATTAAAGCAAATATTAAATTCTGTTTAATGGGAATTCCCTGGTGGTCCAGTGGTTAGGACTTGTGCTTTCACTGCCAAAGGTCCAGGTTCAATTCCTGGTTGGGGAACTAAGATTCCACCAGCCGCTTGGTGCAGCCAAAAAAAAAAAAAAAATTCTGTTTATAAACAAAGCAGTTACTAATTAAGGTTGTTGTTAAGCTTTTTTTTTTTTAAACCCTGGGCTACATCACACACTGGCTTGTCCCTACACCAGTATCAGCAAGTCCTGCAGGCACCATAGCCCACCACAAGGACAGATATTTTGGTCATCATCACATGGATCTTTATTTTTATCTAATGTTTACAGTTTTGCTGGTTCTGACTCCTAACTTCTCTCTTTGCCGTGAATTCCAGGATCCACCACTGATGTTCAGTGAAGAGTACCAGAAAGGCCTGCTCGAGCAGTATCATGCGGTTCTGGACCAAAAACGCAAAGAATATGTGGTTGGCGAGCTCATCTGGAATTTTGCTGATTTCATGACTAATGAGTGTAAGTGGCATGTGGGTGCACGGGATGTACCCCTTCTCATTGTTTCTGGTGGGCGTGTTAGTTCAGGACATTTGGTTCTAAGAACCCTGGAAACAAGCAGGGGAAGGCTGATGTCATCAAAGCAGGCCACACAGAGGATTTCCCAGGAAAAAGTCAGTTGTGTTGAGCAATCAGCTGATTACTTGCATGCTGCAAGTAATGGAGATCATTTTCTGAAGTAAATGGGAGAGGCGACCGTCTCAAGGCAGAGGTGGCCAGCTTTCCTCTGTGTTTCACGATAGTATGAGGAAAAAGTGGATCTTGCACTGGATTTATTGGGATACACTTGGGATTCTAGGGTAAGGTAGAAAGCCTGAGAAACCTAAGACATTTCAGTTTGTTTTATATGATGTGCTTAGGAAAGGCAGGTTCACCAAATACAGCTAAGTATCAAAGGGTTTTGAATGTAGGAGTATGTTTAAAAGCCTTCAGAGTGAACATGATCTGTACTTTCTCAAGTGAGGACGATGACAAGCTTCCAAATGAATGTTTCCTGTATCTTTTTACCCCTCTAGGTTACTAGATTCTTGATATATTGTAAATTGAGGAAGGAGAGCAAGCTGGGGGAGGTAGGGAAGAACTGATAATAGTGGGAATTACCTTTTACTACTTCTGGTGAAAGACAGGTTTTTGAAAGGTTAAAGTTCAATTAAAAATCAGAATTTGGGCGGCAGCGGGAGGGCGGGGTGCTTCCTGGTGGCCCAGTGGTTAAGACTGCACTCCCAATGCAGGGAACATGGGTTTGAACCCTGGTCAGAGAACTAAGATACTTCATGCCACACAGCATGGCCAAAAAAACCAAAATAAGAAAAAAAAGAAAGAAAATCAGAATGGCAAGAGTGAAAGAGGAAAAAGAAAGAGAACACGAGCCTCCACTCTCCTTGGCAAATGAGATTAATGGCTCCTGGAAATAAACTTGGATGGGAACCTAGTTTTGTGAGTAGGGGCACTGGCTTTATGTATTAAGGAATTAGCTGTGTGACCTTGGACAAGGTACGTACCTTTTCACAAGCCTGTGAAGTGGGGATAACACCCACCACCTCGAAGGCTGACATAGGGATTCCACTTGAAGTGCTTGGCACGGTGCCTGGTATTTGCTTTTCATGGAAGAAATGATTGTTGTCTGGAACTTTTCAGTGGCAGAGGCCTTTCCATTTCACGGAAGGCGTGGTTTCTCTTGGGGGTGGAGAGACCTCCCTCTCTGGCGGACCTGCCTCCAGGGGTGGGGACCCAGGTGGAAGTTTGCCTGGGAGGACTTTAACGTCTACTAGTAGATCCTGCTTGGGCACCCGTGAGTGGTCAAGACTCTGGCTCCTACGAGGAGAGCAGTCCTTTCAGAGAGGGCTCCAGCCTTTCCAAGGGTAACTTTGTCTCAGCCCCGCTCCAGTTACCAGGCAGCTGGGCACCCTAAATGTCTTAAACATTATCTTGCAAGGAAAAGATAAACAGTTTTAGATTCTTCCCCTAATGGGTGAAAGCTGAAGTGTTTCGGGGAGCACTGGTATTTAAGTCTTTAACCCATTAAGCGGCCACTTCTGAGTCCACAGCAGGCCAAGCAGCTCTAAAGCATGAAGACATTGCTGAGTTCCCAGCTTGGCTCCAGGATGGTTCTGATTTTCCCCATCAGCAGTCATCTGAGACAACTTTTGCCTTGTTTTTAGCACCATTTCGGATGATAGGGAACAGAAAAGGGATCTTCACTCGGCAGAGACAACCAAAGAGTGCAGCATTCCTGTTGCGAGAGAGATACTGGAGACTTGCCAATGAAACCAGGTACCACCAGTCAGCTGTGAAGTCACAGTGTGTGGGAAACAGCCTGTTTACTGTTTAAAGCGAGAACTACCTCTCTGCAGACACTGGCTCAGTCAGCTTCTCCTCCCCAGGGAGGGGGTGCTACTTCCATCGCACACCGAGCAAGTGTTTCCTGCCCTGTGCATAGCAGACCTGGAAGCTTCTCACCTGGATTTTGTGGTCATTTGCTAGAAGGGAATATTAGAAAATAAAGACTGGTAGGGCCTTCCCTGGCAGTCCAGTGGTTAAGACTCAGCACTTCCATTGCAGGGGGCCTGAGTTTGATCCCTGGTTGAGAAACTGAGATCCCACATGTTGCACAGCATGGCCAATAATAATAAAGAAAATAAAGGCTTTTGTCATATCAGAATAAAGAGTTAGCTTAAAAGTGACCATCTGTAAACTGAATGATCTATAGTGCTGAAAAGCATCTGCATTTGTTTTTGGTGTCTCAGGCTGTTTTTGTAGCCTTCAGTTTAGTCACTCAGTCGTGTCCAACTCTTTGTGACCCATGGACCACAGCATGCCAGGCCTCCCTGTCCATTACCAACTCCTGGAGTTTACTCAAACTCATGTCCATTGAGTCAGTGATGCCATCCAACCATCTCATCCTCTGTTGTCCCNCTCCTTTCCTGATTTGGAACCAGTCTGATGTTCCATGTCCAGTTCTAACTGTTGCTTCTTGACCTGAATGCAGATTTCTCAGGAGGCAGGTCAGGTGGTCTGGTATTCCCATCTCTTTAAGAATTTTCCACAGTTTGTTGTGATCCACACAGTCAAAGGCTTTGGCGTAGTCAGTAAAGCAGAAGTAGATGTTTTTCTGGAATTCTCTCACTTTTTCAATGATCCAGCAGATATTGGCAATTTGATCTCTGTTTCCTCTGCCTTTTCTAAATCCAGCTTTAACATCTGAAAGTTCTTGGTTCGCATACTGTTGAAGCCTGGCTTGGAGAATTTTGAGTGTTACCTTGCCGGTGTTTGAGATGAGTGCAATTATTTGAACATTCTTTGGCATTGCCTTTCTTTGGGATTGGGATGGAAACAGACTTTTTCCAGTCCTGTGGCCACTGCTGAGTTTTCCAAATTTATTGGCATATTGAGTGCATCACTTTCACAACATCATGTTTTATATGAAATAGTATTTGAAATAGCTCAACTGGAATTCCATCACCTCCACTAGTTTTGTTCATAGTGATGCTTCCTAAGGCCCACTTGACTTCACATTCCAGGATGTCTGGCTCTAGGTGAGTGATCACACATTGTGATTATATGGGTCATGAAGATCTTTTTTGTACAGTTCTGTGTATTTTTGCTACCTCTTCTTAATATTTTCTGCTTCTGTTAGGTCCATACCATTTCTGTCCTTTATTGTGCCCATCTTTGCATGAAATGTTCCCTTGGTATATCTGATTTTTTTGAAGAGATCTCTAGTCTTTCGCATTCTATCATTTTCCTCTTTCTTTGCAGTGATCATGAGGAAGGCTTTCTTGTCTGTCTTTGCTATTCTTCAGAACTCTGCATTCAAATGGGTATATCTCTGCTTTTTGCTTCTCTTCTTTTCACAGATATTTGTAAGGCCTCCTCAGACAGCCATTTTGCTTTTTTGCATTTCTTTATTTGGGGGATGGTCTTGATCCCTGTCTCCTGTACAGTGTCACGAACCCCCATAGTTCATCAGGCACTCTATCAGATCTAGTCCCTTAAATCTATTTCTCACTTCCACTGTATAATCATAAGGGATTTGATTTAGGTCATACCTGAATGGTCTAGTGGTTTTCCCCACTTTCTTCAATTTGTCTGAATTGAGCAGTAAGGAGTTCCTGATCTGACCCACAGTCAGCTCCCGGTGTTGTTTTTGCTGACTGTATAGAGCTTCTACATCTTTGTAGCCTTAACAGAGTCTTGGGAAACCTCTGCTTCAGCACTCATGCCCCATTCAGAGTGGCGGCTTACAAACTGTGTTGCCACCAAACCAGCCCTGCTGCCTGCGCTTGTGGGCAGCCTTGACTTGAGTGGGTGACAGTAGAAAACAACTGCTAGGAACCCCCCAGAAGGGCTGAAGTTTCAGCAAATTCACAGAAAGTAGCATCATGCTGGAAGAAGAAGGCACAGGGTCCGTGAACTGGAGCTAAGCTGACGGAGATGCAGAAGGGAGGTAAGAATGGAGCAGTGTTGGAACTGGAAGGGAGCTCAGAGGTTACCAGTGCTTCTGGGACATTCTTCTAACCGCAGCCATCATTCTGTCTGGACTGAAAGGGACAGACAGGTGTAGAAGCCCACTGGACCGTCACAGCCGACTCCACTAAAGGTGGAGATGCAGCCTCTGAATGCACGGGCTGCAGACAGGCAGACTTCTGCACCTGGCGCCGCCCCCTGCTCTGACCCCGAGGACGGTCTTTCCTTAGGAATCTGTCCTCCTGCCCCTCTTCCGCAGGCTCCATTAAGGAAGGTACGTTATTTGTAAAATGTCAGTGTTCATCAACCCTGATTTAAAGCTGAAAGCTTCAATCAAATTGAAGACCATAAATCAATGTAGTTCTTAATACAGAGTTTGATCCACTTGTAGGGGATTTCTTGTCTCAACACATGCCCTTTTCTCCAAGAAGAAATGAGGGTGTCGTTCACCCAAATAATAAGTTAGGAATTTTAGGGGCTGTATATTTATTTTGTTACCACTAAAACTAAGTTCTTTGAAGTAATCAAGTTTTATGTTCCAGTTTAATGTCAAGGAATAATATATAAAATTCTTTACCTGACAAACATTAAAAAAAAGAAAAATGACAGACACACTTAAATGTTTTACAAATTAGGGGTAAGATTCTTTTCTCAAGTCCTAAGGTCCTAACAAAGGACACAATTGTTCTATTCAATAAAATATGGCTAACTGCATTTCCAATGAAATTATCTTTCTTGCAGATATTAACTTTTTAGGAGATTTTAAGAGTGGCGTATTCAAGGTGAGCTATAGTAAAGCAGTGAAAAAAACATCTGATTAATACAGTCTATGTGCTCACAGAACTGTAAGCAGTAACATCGTCATTAATTCTTGACAACCACATACATCATAAACCCACAGGAATTCCAAGAACTAGAATCTCTAAGAATTCTGCTTCCGTATTCTATAAGTTACATATAATTTAAGAGAAAAAGAGTCAACTCTATACCTGTAGAAATGAGGCTGTGCTATTAATTGTAAGGATCAGTTATAGGGACTTCTGATGGTCCAATGGTTAAGACTCTGTCTTCCAGTGCAAGGGGCATGGGTTCGATCCCTGGTTGGGGAACTAAGGTCCTGACCTCAGGGTGTGACCAAAACTTAAAATCATTTCTAAGACTGAATTCATTTTTGAAGACTGTTACATTTTTGAAATGTAACACTGCAGTATAAGAATGAGGGCAGCACAACTTCCACAGGTAACTTCTACATTTATTTTATACCAAAAAAGTTATGTGCAACAAATAAACATTCTTACATATTTACATTTGTTTTTACCAGTTAGCAAAACTGTGTCCTAAATCTCTGATAAAGAATATTTCTATCTATATTAAAGGGGAAATCTGCCCAGTGAACTCCATTTAAAATGAATGTTTACTCTGGAGCTTAAAGCACTAGTAATAAATATTTTTTGATGGAACATACTATACAGATCATACACCTAATACTTAGGCCATGCTTAATACAGTTTTATAACAAAACATTTTACCTTTTCTGGGCTAATATGTAAAAAAAAAAAAGTTTAACCAAGTCACCTGGACTCCCACCCCATACCTTTGATTTATTGAAGGGTAGTTCTCACAAATTAGGACTCATAAGTGCTGCCTAAAATATATAAATAGCAGTGTTTCACCAGTACTTGCCCATTGGGGAAAAAATACACAAAAATACACGAGGATAAAGATTGAATATTAGGTATTCTTTCCCAAATAGGTTACCAAAAATGAGAGTGGGTTTCTTGTTGGCAGTTGTCCAGTACTGATGTTCAGGGTAAGATCTGTCAGCAGTTATTGGTGTCAAGCTTTGCTGAAGACAACTTTGTACTTCTGCTGATAGTCTTAAATGAAGTCTAAGAAAACTAAAGCCAACTCACAGTTTTAATTTCACTGTAGTCTTGGTCCTGTATTTTATGTAGGAGGTCCAAAGATCTCTTGTATCAAATGAGAGATCTTTGTCTCTTTGAATGAAAATAGTCAATGCTATCAACATCTTTGAAAGTCATGGATTTAAGGAGGGGCTACATACACCCAGGGCACGCAGCTAGTTAAACCTGACATTTCACCAGAAGTTGGCCCTCAACTGATAGCAACTAGTTGCAATGAAAAAAAAAAAAAAATGAAACCCTTCAAACCACTGAGCTTTCCTAAAATTTATCATGTAACCATGACACCTCTTATTTCTTCAAATGATAGGACTGTCAAGTAAATAAGAGGCTTCATCTGTTACAAATCATTTTGAAAACTGAGAAGTAGAAATTCATATTTTCCCCAACCTGTTCTTCAACACTGGTAGCTAATAATGTTGCAGTGTTTAAATATTCAGTCTGAAATAATCTTAATAACCCTCAGACTTTTATAACAGGGGGTTTTCCCCTTCTTCTAGGGTAGAATTGAGGATGTAGAGGGAAGCCTAAATTCTTCCCAGGGAAAAAATACCAAATCACACACACCAGGGTGGGGGTCCTTTGCTTAGAGAGAGATGGGCATCACCATGTGGTATTTTAGGCAGCACATGTTCATCACTCAGTGAGAAGGACATGAATTCTGGGGTTGTAGGAATGTGGCAACAATTTTTCTGTAACTGAAACAGTAGTGTCCCCAAGGCTTAGAAAAGCAAAGGAAAAACTTGAAGGGTCTGACTGAACACTCTGATGTTTTCTCACGAAAGAATTGCAGACATTCGCAAGAACGCAACATCAAGACAAGCTTTTAACTCTACTCCGCTGACCAATACAGAGGAGGGCAAAGAACAATTTTAAATGGGGACACAAGGAATTTGTTTAGCACGACCAGAGTTTATATATATATATACCACGATGTCATCACGGTGAAGCCGTCTCCAGACTAGTGGAGAAAAGAGAAGCAGTGAACTGCTGATCTGCTGGGTAGAGGGGAAGCTCTGCTGCCCGACGAGCTCATTGTGCAGCTCTCCAGAGAACTCATTTCTCCATAAATACCAGACATCTAATCAACACTTTCTAGAGTTCTTTAGAGAAACAAGAACAATACATACATAATAAAACAGACATTGAAATATTCACATTCATGGGAAAAAATATAAGCCTGGATGAAATCAGAACTAAGCTATCTTTTACAAAACTCTTTTAAACTGGTTAAAAGTACATTACAATGCAATTTGATACCTGCCTTGGGCTAGAAAAATACACTGCATCAATTATGACAGTTGGTTGGAAACTGCTGGACAGTTGATGACTCTACATGTTATGGTTTACAGAGCAGAGCCTGTCCCCTCCTTACAAAAGGCAGAACACTCAATAGTTACCGGTTTCTTCTTAACATAATGATGAACAGAATTGGAAGCAAAAACATGGCTACTCCTTCTCAACCTAAGAAATGAAAAGATCACACAGAACCTTTCTATAGATTGCAAGTTTCCTACTTCATGCTGAGAAAGGAAGGAAGGACACTTCTGCCCAAGTTCAACACACAAAATATTTGGTTTGAGATTTAAGACAGAAGGCACTTTGAACATTCTGATAGAAGATGTTAACCACAGAAATGTACTGTCACTGTTTCATTTGGGTTTATTCAAATCGCTTTCAAAGACTCTGCATTGTGGTAGTTATTAGAAAGAGTACTATGTTCCACCTTGAGATACTTCTCCCTTTAGTACTCCTCCCAGTTAAGCCAATTGAGCAGCATGTCAGCCCTAAAGTTTACAAATGTAATATCTGACCCTAAAACAATTAAACTAGATGTCCGGTTAGTTAGTGAAGAAAGAAACAGGAGAAACACTATGGAGCTACCCAAGAGTAATCCTACTCTGGAGTGACTGGGGCTTATACTGATGATTTTCCAAGCCAATACTGTTTGGTTGACTGGCACTAATGTGAAGGAAAATTAAGTGCATGAAAATTCACCTGTTGTAAGAGACTATGAAATGCCATAGTACTATTTCCAGCTTTTTGCCAGAGAAATCTACCCATTTTCCCACCTTTAGTGTCCTGAAGGCGTTGAAAGTCTGGTCACATGACTCACACTGTAAGTTTCTAATTGATCCAGTTTTATGACTAGGTACAAGCTTGACTTGAATGTCCAAATTTAGTTTCTTCCTTTCAAAGGAAGGAGATGAAAGGGAACCAGTCACCCTATTATTTTTGCTGTCAGTGCTGGACCCACAGTTGCCAGTCCTTTCTACAAGATGCTCTGTGTGGACTTAGTATTTTCACTATGTCTTCAGTCAGCATTGAGCTGACAGTTCCTCATCACTACACTCCAACTAGGCTGAACAGCAAGTTTCTGCAGGGCTGGATCCAATATCTCTACCTTTATTTACAAATAGCACATAAATGGATTCTAGTTGAATCTACATGTTTAAATCCATTGGCTAAAAAACATATTACATATTGTAAACATGGCAATATTGAATACAGTATCTATTCTAAAATATTTTCATGTCATGATCACATTTGTTATACCTGAAATTGAATTTATACACATTAGAGAATTACTAGCAATGGTTGCTCACTTTACAACTGAGGGGAAGGGGCTAGGGCTACATTTTACCATTTCAGAAACATCTCCAAAGTAAAGTTAAAGCTTGTCTTTGATTGGCTCGGTGTATCCTTTTTTTGTATCCATATTTAAAATGAAGATTGACACAGAAAATAGCTAGAGCCCCTTCTAATTTACAGGATTTTAAAAAATCAGTTTAAGATTCTTAGGGAAAGTGTCTGTTGTGAAGAAGAATAATAATAATAATTAAAAAAAAAAACACCAAACTGCTGCAAAATAAACTTAATGGAAAAAGGGACTTCAGAGTGTCAGGTAAAGAGTTCGTCAGGCAGTCAGTCCTGCTTGGGCTGCAGTTGCCGTTTCCAGGCTTCGTTCAAGTAAACTAGTCGTTTGTAGTTGATGATAAGAAGAATGAAGTTCAGCACATATGTGATGACGCAGATGATGCAAAATTCCTTCAGCACAAAGTACAGGATGTAGGCCAGGTACAGAGACCCCACTGCGGACATGATGGAGGATGTCATGAGGATTAAAGCTGCAACTGCACTTGCTGTCAGACCTGCAAGAGGAAGGGACACTTGGCTCAGTCAGACCTGGACACTGGAGAACAAGCTTCCGAGTTCAAAGGTAACATTTTGTGATTTGCTGCAGGGCTGGAACACTCATCTTAAGACAAAACACTCTGAAATTTGAGGACAAGACCTACAGGTCTATTTTCTTAAATTTGATAGCTGCAGTGTTATTATTTTTTGTTTTTTTAATTTTGTATTGGAGTATAGCCGATTAACAATGTTGTGATGTTGTGACAGTTTCAGGTGAGTAGTGAAGGAACTCAGCCATACATATACATGTATCCATTCTCTCCCAGGGCTTCCCTGGTGGCTCAGTGGTGAAGAATCCACCTGCCAGTGCAGGAGACGCGGGTTTGATCCCTGGATTAGGAAGATCCCCTGGAGCGGAAATGGCAACCTACTCCAGTATTCTTGTTTGGGAAATCCTGCAGACAGAGGAGCCTGGTGGGCTACAGTCCAGGGGTTGCAAAAGAGTCAGACATGACTTAGTCACTAAACAACAACAACATTCTTCCCCAAACTCCCATCCCGCCCAGGCTGCCGCACAGCACTGAGCAGAGTTCCCCGTGCTCTACAGTAGGTCTTTGTTAGTCATCCACTTAAAACATAGCAGTGTGTACATGTCCATCCCATAGCTGCACTATTTTTGACTGGTAAATATTCTGGATGAAATATTAAGTATTCCATAAACTAGCCTTAGTTAAGGCATGTAAAGAAAATATGCACTTTTGCAATCATATTATGCAATGAAGCAGATTTGTAAAACTGACACCCCGACCTCCTATAATGAATAAAGTAATGAAAGGAGAAAAAAAAAGTAATGTGAGGACCACAACCTTCTCTTCCAAGCAGGACACATTTGGTGAGACCATCCCAAACCCTTTTCACTATAGACAGGCTCCCCACCTGTGGAAAGTAAAATTTGCTTTCCTGTGTTTAGATCAAATTTATCAAAAATCCCATAATGGGAGATGATTACATCAACATGCTGTTGAAGGAAAAAAAAAGTCATGATAAACATTTCAGAAGGGCTCACCCTGGGGCATAAGGAAAACCACATTTGGCCAGTTGGCCACATGTGGGTCAAACCAGATGGAGAAAAAAAGGCAGTTATATGTGCTAACCTGAGTTCTCAAGACAAACACTTGCCTGAACTCTTGATGCTATCATCTGACATCTTCACGTTTGGTTTTGTAATTTCCTGTAGCCAACAGTAATGAGAACATGTGCATTTATTTTCAAGGACAAGAGGAGACAGCAGAGTTCCTACCCAACAACTAATGGATAAGGAGCACAGAAACAGGATAAAAATAAATAAGTGGTAGTGGTTTGAAGAGGTTAATTACGGAGCTGAGATCACACTACCAGTACAACGAGAAGTTGCATCTGGGCTCTAGCCTAGCCATGGGGACCGACTTGCCTAGAGACCACTTAATATACATGTTGTTTAAAGAATCTTTTTTTTTTTTTTAAAAGCAGAGGAGTATTTATTAATTTATTTATTTTACCCCACTGCGGCATGTGGGATCTTAGTTCCCTGACCAGGGACTGAAACTGCATCCCCTGCATTGGGAGTACGGAGTCTTAACTACTGGACCACCAGCGACATCCGTGATGCTTTAACAAGGCTCTTTCCAGACTAAGATACCGTTGGATTACTCATGTCACCTGCTTTTGTAAATAAAGATTTATCGTAATCCAGCCACACTCATTCATGTATGTAATGACCGTGACTGCTTTCACACTACAGTGGCAGAATTGAGTAGCTGTGACAGTCAGCAAAGCCTAAATAATTTCCTATCTGGCCCTTTACTAAAAAACAAAGTTGGCTGACCTCATTGATGCTAATATCTCAAACTTCAAAAATGAACGCTGGCACCTTAATTTTGTCTAAGATAGTTAATTTCAAAATGATACAGGCAAGTTATTTACTCTCTGTGCCACTCTTTTCCTTAACTGTAAAAGTGGAATAATAATCATGACTGCCTCTTAAGACTGTTGTGCAGATTTAAAGAGCTAATAGGATGGGACTTCCCTGGCGGTCCGGTGGTTAGGACTCAGGACTTTCACTGTGGTAGCCTGGGTTCAATTCCTGGTCGGGGAACTAAGAGCCCACAAAGCTGCACAGTGCCGCCAAAAACAAAAAGGCTCTATCTTGAACAACTTAGAAGGAAGTGAACCTGATGTGCTCTGGAAAACCAGGTTTGGGGAGTTCAAATGTGCCTCCAGTGGTAAAGACACAAACACTAAAAATGCATGTGAATGTCTAAAATGTGACTAGAAAAAATACATAAAATACACATGATTTTAAATGTGTATATAATGAAATTAACAAATATTACAAAACAATAATTTGTTCAACACCATCTCCCAAAATTAACAGAGTCAGAAGCTAGAATTCTTAGGTTATTTTATTGTGAACTTACACTTTATATTCTTCTTTAGAAATTCAAACAGAACAATTAAATGGAATAAAAGGTGAAAGTCTCAACTCTGCACATATATAAACATATACTTATTCTCTATTACACCACAATTTGCTTTATTTTTTAATTGCTAAACTAGGTTTTGATCTTCTAGGGTTTGTAGACCTACTTTTCTCTTTAATGGCTACATAGTATTTTCTAGCATGCTTGTAACCTAATTTATTTAATCCTTACAAGCTACTTCTAATTTTTTGCTATTTTAAACTGTACTGCTATGAATATCCTTGTGTGTGTGTGTGTTTTATTTCTGCAGGATATACAGATAACAGAAGGGAGCAAACTTGATAGGGCTATTGAGAAAAATTTAGGTGCACAGTTTGCCTTACAATAAATCTATTGGTGCTATACAGAAGACCTGCCAGATAACAGGATAAAATATTAACAATTGAAACGCAAGGACAAAGATGGATGGATTTAACTCTGAAAGTATAAAACGTTCTGTATAATCAAAATTCACAAAATCAGTATTTCTAAAACAAGAATAAAGAATGAGTAAAATGTTTGTAACAAATATGAAATGTACTGTAATCAGGATCCCAATAACTAAAGTGGCAATAATAGGAAATTAAAATGCTATAAAATTAAAAATAAAATTAATATGGCTATTAATATGTAACTGCTGAATTAGAAATTTTATAGGAAAAAAAATGAGGATGGTTGAAGCTTTGGGAAAACCTGACAACTGAGGGAAAATCAGTTTGTTTCTACCTGTTAAAATCCATACCCCCCAAAAAATCTATGTTTGTTGACTCATTCATCCTACATTTAGATATTTGTTTTGCAGAAATAATTCAAAGAGAAAAGGGAGTATGAGAAGAGGACTTTAAACAAAGTTAATCACTGTAGTATTATTTAGAACATTAAAAAATCTGAGGCCTTGATATCCATAACAGCAAGGCATTTAAGAGGATAGACAGTATAAGAGAGTTCACATAAATTTAAGTAAAAAAGGTAAGGAACAATGGCAATAGTGGCAATAAAGGTGATGGAATTATGAATGAATATAATTTACTATTAATGTTTTCTCAATGCATAATATTTTAAAATAGCTACAGAGTATACAAAATAACAAGGAAACAAGGTTTCCCAGGCAAACTGTTTGGAGTAATAATTTCCCTGAATGGGACTTGTTTTTCTGAGCATCCTGGGATGCTCCTACCCCTGAGTAAATACCAACAAATACCAAGTTCAGGCTGAGTGTCATCAAAATCTTAGTGAACCAAGTTTTCACAACACAAAAATGTGTTACAAACTAGTGGTTCTACCATCAACATCTGCTTTTTATTTACTATAAAGACACATCAGGGCAGAGACAAAGTGAAATATAACAAACTTATTTATGTATTGCTGTATAAATACTTACCAAGTAATAACTGTAGTATATAAAATATAAGTCCAAAGATACTGTTTGGCTGGTTTAATACACCATCCTTTCCAAAAATGGAACCCAAAAGACCAAATCCTCGACCCCATCTGTAAAATAAAGAAAACCAGTAACCCTATTTTTAAGTTTTCTTCTTTTTAAAAAAGGAGAACTATCTGAGCATTTCCTGCCCACATACCCATCTGAATCTCTAAATTGCCAGTTTCTATATAGTCTCTTTTCCAAAAGGTTGAACAAAGTGTTGTTCTTCTGATAGCATTAATATTTGCTGAGGAAGGGCTCTTTCAATTTAAGCCAGGGTCTCTTTGAAGCAGCACCACTGACATTCTGGGCTAAATAATTCTTTGTGGTGGAGAGGTGTTCAGTGGGGGTCATTACAGGGTATTTAGAGGTTCCTGGCCTCTATACCCCCCTCTCCATCAGCTGCACCTACCAAAAATGTCTTCAGCCATTGCAAATGTCTCCTGGGGGCAAAATCACCCCTAGTTGAAAGTCACCAATGTAAGCTGTCCTATTTCTTCACTCAAAGTACATAGAATGAAACTTTTCCTGACCCAGGACACGCATGAGGAGACATATCCTTGGAACATTATCTTTAAATGTAGACTATCCCAAACTAAACTTTTTCCTAGAATCTTACCTCACAAGGAAAAAGTTGATGCCTTATTTGCCCCATCAGTTTTTATTTTAGTTTAACTGAAAATTTTGCATTTGACTTTCCATTTTCAGAATCTTATTTTCTTATTAAAAAATTATTAAATTCTGACTTAATAAAATTTGATACAAATAGTAGACTAACATTTACTTTGGATAAAAACCTTTAAAGATAACTTTAACTCTTGTCAGCTCCAAATGGGCACTTGCCATCTACCTCTAGGTAGATGCCATCTACATCTACCAAGGATTAAATCATGTGCTACTGCAGCTGTTGATTTTCAGTACCCCACAGGACAGGTTTTCAGATAGTCAGATATGTTCAGGAGCTGATTTCATGAGCCCAGTTCTTGTATCTCCTCATATCTAGAAAAACACTAAAATCCTTCGTAGTGACAACTGCTGCTCCCGACTAGAAGAAACCTGCAAGAAAATATGTGCTTGACTGCATGGACTGCCCCCCACCAAGGTCATGTATATTTCCCCTGCTGATCTGAAATGCTGTCTGCGGGGCTACAGTCCTCACTTTGCCCCAAGTAAAACTTAACTTGCAACTCTCACATCGTGCATCTTTTAAAGTCAGCACTCTAAATGGAAGTGCTTTATAAAATACCAAAAAGAAAGTGTTTTCAGTCTGTAGCAAAGTGCTCAATAAAACCTAAACTTCAGTTCTGAAGACAAACTACCTGAAGATAAGGATAAATGAGTGATTCTTCATTAGCTGCATGACTTCAGTAGTCCAAGAAATAGTGAATCTCTTCATAATGATGAGGGTGAGAGATAGTATGACCCCAATTATACAAATTAGTGAACACCATGAAGATCGTTGTACAGTTATTTCATTTAGGGAGAAGTAATGGACAGGTAAATGACCAGGTTATCTTCAGAAATGAGCTATTAACAGGAAAATTGAGAAGGGGGGTTATTCTAGATCAGAACTTTTGAAAAATTTACACTGCATACCAGAGGGATTTTGTTAAAATGCAGATTTTATTTCAGCAGGTCTGTAATGCATTTCCAAACAAAACAAAATGTTCCCATGTGATGCTCATGCCTCTGGTCTGAGGACCACTCTCAGCACCACTGCTTTACATGGAGAAGGGGTGGAAGGAGCTACTATAGCTAGATGGTCAGGGGAGGCCTTTTTCAGGAATTAATTCCTGAATGAGGAGAAGCAGCCAGTCTCAGGAGCAATGGCAAGTATGAAAGCCTGGAGGCAGGCAAGAGCTCGGATCCAGCTGACTCTGAGGAGGGAGAGTGACAGGAAGATAAGGCACCGTCCCATCACTTATGTAACTTAAACAGCCTTGTCTGTGGGCCATGATGAAGAGTTTGAATTGTATTCTAACTGCCATGGGAAGCCACTCAGTGGCTTTTGAACAGGAGAGTAATAGAAGCTTTATAATGATCACTCTTGACTCTGGTGTCAAGAACAAACTGCAGGAGGGCAGGGACAAACTATGCAATCAAACTCTGGAGCCCTCTGCATCTGAAGTAGGAATTCAAATGTAAATCACCAACTTTGGCAATGGAAATAACTGGGCATACTGCCGAAATTATCATAAGTAAACAGAATTTTTATTCTAAGCGTTGGTCTGTGTTTAGAATTAATACTAACTATCCACATATGATCTTGTGGATATGTTCCTCGAAAACAATGCAGTAATCCACAGAATGAATATACCATTTTATCCAAGGAATATATGCATAAGGTTTAAAATCAAATAACACTGAAAGCCTTAAAAAACAAAATCGAGATATTTCCTACTCCAGCCCTCTCTCCACTCAGTTCTGATCCCCATAGGCAACCACTTTGATGCCTTTTAATTATTTTCCCCTTTTATTTATTTCCACATTTCTAAAGAATATCTTTACATTGCTTTCTTGATTTATCAATTCTAAATGCTATCTTTTGACATTCTAATACGGTAGAGCAAAAAGCTGCTTAAACAAAAACATTTTAACATGGAAAGCTTCAAATGTACATACACAAAGTGAACAGAGCTGGATAGTAACCTCATGTCCCTATCACGCAGCTTTGAAAATTGTGCCTTTCTTGTTTCATTGCCACCTTTACCCACTAACCACGTGATTATTTTTAATTTTTTTAAGGTAAAATGTGTATAAATGCACAAATCTTAACTGTATAATTTTGACCAATACAAATACCTGAGTAACCCTGGTACACAAATTGTAATCATGGTGTAGCAATTCTGGAGTGTGAAGTAATTCTACTAGTGTGAAGTGAGAGTGTAAGTACCTTTCATTTAAAAAAAAAAAAACCTAAACCACTCAACACTCTTATAGAGTGCTTCCATCTCCCAAATTAGTTAGTCCCTTTCCAGCAACCTGTTCTCCTCTCTTCCCACGAGCAAGAAGTACGTGACTACCGAGGCTTGGAGGAATCCAGCCTCAGAACCGAAGTTACATCTCTGGTCTCCTGGATGGCAGCTGTGCTCTTTATCCTGCATAACATTATAAAATGCAATTACCGGGACTTCCCTGGTGGTTCAGTGACTGAGTCTCCATGCTCCCAATGCAGGGGGCTCAGGTTCCATCCCTGATCAGGGAACGAGAGCTCACACTCTGTAACTAAAGATCCCCTGGAGAAAGAAATGACAACCCACTCCAGTATTCTTTCCTGGAGAATCCCACGGGCAGAGGAGCCTGTGGGCTGCAGTCCATGAGGTTGCAAAGAGCTGGACAAGACTGAGCACACATACAAATACAATTAATAATACTGAATATACCTGAATACATTTTGATAAAGCTGATGTAACAGCTGTTAGCAAGATTATTTCCGTGGGAAGGGAAGAACAGATTTTCATTAAGGACACTATGCTGCACGATTGCCAAGGACGGCAGGAGTCATTAAGACCCTCAGTGAGCCTTTCTCCAGCTGGAACATTTGAAAATACTGTAGTTTTCTCCCAATTCTAAACGTTATACAAAAGTGTATGTGCTAACTTTATACTTGGCTTTGTCTTAGTTTCTAACCGTTTTCTCCTTGTCCCATCTATATTCAAAATTCTATTATACCACTTATCCGCAGAGCTGCCCCAAGTGCCTTATGGAACGAGATGGGATATTAACCGATTAAGCAAAAAGAACTGTTTTCTGAAAGTATTACTTAAACAGCTGTTCATTTTGCTTCAGTATGATAACACAAAAAAAGAGATCATGTAATTGATAACTTGTCTTTAATCTTTGACTCTTAAAAAAAGGTTCATCTTTGATCCAAATATAAGTTCCTTGAATATTTTGTATTTGGGTTCAAAACAACCAATACCATTCCCTAAGCTATGATAAGAAATTGCTGAAAGGTTTTTAAACACTCCTAGTTTTGCCAGAAACAAATCTTAAAACCAATTGCTCTCCAACCTGGGTATCCTCAGTCACTGAGGATAAATCTAAGACATTATTTGCCTCCTTCATTATCACTCTCTCACAAGTGTATAGGGGAGTTTTCCAAAGGCTACCTGCAGATCTCAGGACCTTAGGTGAGAATCAACAGACTTACCTTACAGCAGACATTAAAGAGATCTGCAATAAGAGAAACTATGCAAGTCTTTCCACTATCGTGTGTGTTCGTGGTGTGTGTGTGTGGGGAAGGGAGTATTATTCATAATATTTTGTTAACATATAATGGGTTTATTGTGTTTCAATGAATGAATGCATACTTAAATAATTTCTCAGTTTGTAACTTCTAATACAGTAAATACCAAAATACCAAATATAGGTATAACCCACATAAACAAGGCCTTTTAGGGGTGACCCGGGTTTGATCCCTGGGTTGGGAAGATCCCCTGGAGAAGGAAATGGCAACCCACTCCAGTATCCTTGCCTGGAAAATCTCATGGACACAGGAGCCTGATGGGCTGCAGTCCATGGAGTCGCAAAGAGTCAGGCACGACTGAGCAACTAACACAACAACACAACAACAATAATTATTAAAAGTATAAAGGGGTTCTCCTATCAAAAAGTTTGAAAATCACTGCTTTTGACCAGTCCCCCCCTTCCCCGCCCCCCGCAAAAAACCCAAATCACAAATCAGACAAAACTTTATAAACTGGGGTGAGATAAAGTAGAAATAGAACAAACAATCCTAAAGTCTTCATGGAATCACAAAAGACCCTGAATAGCCAAAGCAACCTTGAGAAAGAACAACAAAGCTGGAGGCATCAGTCTTTGATTTTAAACTATACAAAAAGCTACAGCAATCAAACCCGTATGGCAGTTGCATAAAAAGAGACACATAGATCAATGGAACAGAACAGAGGGCCCAGAAATAAACCCACACATGTATGGCCAATTAATTTATGATAAAAGAGCCAAGAATATACAATGGGGAAAAAATAGTCTCTTCAGTAAGTGATGTTGGGAAAACTGGACAACTGCATCAAAAGAATGAAACTAGACCACTTTATACACCACATGTACAAATGAACTCAA